TTCAAAAATGCATCTCCCATTGAATTCTATAGAAACCACAGTGTCTTTTTGGTGCTTTTTTTTTTTTAGTTACATGTCCACATTTCACAAGTGCAGGATTGGAGTTTGGCATCCAGAAAATGCATTAAAAATGCGGAAACGCATATGCGTTTATACCACATTTGTTCAATGGAGCAGTGTGAAAGCAGCCTTATACTTACAGTTTTTACCGTATTTGCTGTATATTTCAGGGTTAAATAAAAGTAATTTGTCCATTAACCCAGAATTACTGCTTAAAATAAATAAAATATAAAACGCCCTACAGAAAGTAAAGGCATAAAGCATATCTATTCTTTAAGTCAGAACAAAGGGCAGTAACTTAAAGTGTTAATAAACTTTAATTTTACCTACGCGGCAGCACAGTGGCTAAATGGCCTGGCAGTATTAGGGTCGTCTGTTCGAATCCCAACCATGGCACCACCTGCCTGGAGTTTGCATGTTCTCCCTGTGCCTGCGTGGGTTTCCTCCAGGTACTCCAGTTTCCTCCCACGCTCCAAAGACATGCTGGTAGGTGAATTGGCTCCTGTCTAAATTGTCCCTAGTATGTGTATGTATGAATGTGAGTTAGGAACCTTAGATTGTACACCCCTTGAGGGTTAGGGACTGATGTGAATGTACAATATACGTAAAGCGCTGTGTAAATTGATGGCACTGTACAAGTACCTGAAATAAATAAAAATTATAAAAAGGTAGGTAAAAATTAACCAACTGGCTTTTCTACCACTTTAAGGTTCGTGCTTGACTAACTCTCCCCCTGCGGGCGGCAGCGGGGGTTTGTTTGACGAAGAGTGGCGGGACGCCTAATTATAGTGTTGCCTAGGGCAGCACAAGAGCTAAATACACCACTGGGTCCACGGTACCAAGCCATTAGTATAGAAAGTCTGCATGGTGTCCAAAGGCTTACGCATTTTGAGGGACAGACCCTCTTCCTGCGTCCATTGAAATGCGTAAGCCTTTGGATGCCGCGCAGACTTCCCATACCACTGGCTTGGTATTGTGGACCTTGAGACAGTCTCTGCATCCCATTATAGGTCTGTTTTTCACATGCGTTTGTTAGTAGAATACTTATATTATATATGTTTTTAATAAATGGTGTCTTTGGTAATGCATTAGGTCAGTGCGCCCCCTTCTTTTTATTGTCATTTTCAGTTGACCTTTTGACACCATACCTATTGGACAGACTGATGGACTACATTCTCTAGCATCACACTTGAGTGCAGGAGTTTGTACTGTTGCAGACTCTTGCACTACACAGTTTATAACAGATCTAAAGCGGATTGTACAATCAGATCGTATAATGTATGGTCAGCGTTAGATCACTAGATATACAATAGGACACCTTTATGATGGCAATATTTCTTAAGCTAGCCATATATGGGTCCTTATTTTTCTCATTCAGCCTGTGGGTTAAACAAACAAAAACAAAAAAAAAAAAAAAAAAAAAAAAAAAAAAAAAACCTGACTTGATTCTCCCAGCCACACTTTCAATGTGGATGTGAGAATCCTGCCCTATATGTCATCGTATTCTGACAGCGGGACTCCCCCACCAATAGAATACACTCATTAGCACTGCTGTCTATTGGCTGCACATGCTGATTTAGTGAGAATTTACCAACAAGCTAGTTCATGAGAAGATGATGAATAGATCGACTTCTCACAAACAAGATGGCCATACAAGGATGTTCAGCTGAACTTTGATCAATGTATGGCCAGCTTTTGAGGCAGGGATGAGCTCAGGCATGTGGATTGTAGCCTGAATCTGTATGAGCGATCCTGCCAGGAAGCTGTCATTGTGGACTGCCAATCATAAGCAGCCGAGGCATTTTCTGCCCTGCAGTAACACAAGAACATGGTGTGGGAAATCCACGATCTGTGCGTGTTTCCGGCACCACGTTTAAAATGCACTGCAGTTGCAATCTGCAGGGGGGTGTCAATGTTAAGTTAAAGAAGTTCGTCACCCTGTAGACAAAAATGTAAAAGTCAGTGACTACAAACACTGTAGCTGCTGACATTTAAATAACAGACACTTACCCATCCCAGGATCCAGCGATGTCCTCATCTGACCCGGCTCTGTGCCAGTCTTTGGGACAGGCAGCCGACTGACTCCCTGAGGCTTCACAGCTGGCTGCCCTGTGCGCATTCTCGAGGCACACTGCCCCAGTGAATGGTCCCGCAATTTCCTGGGACCTCTGAAGTGTCCCAAGAGGCCTAGGTGGTCAGAGTGGAAGTGGGGAACAGTAACTTGTCAAAATCTGGTACCCACTCCCCCCCCAAAAAAAATGGGTGACGCTCCACTTTAAGAACACCCCCAAATGCAGGTCACAAATGCAGTGCATTTGCCTGCACCAGATCGCATGCTATAAATGTACTAATTCTGGTGAAATGCAGTGCGATTTCAGCCCATTCAAAATGAATGGGCTGAAATGGCATGTTCTGAATTATTATTACAGGTACTTATATAGCGCCATCAATTTACGCAGCACTTTACATATATATTGTACATTGACATCAGTCCCAAACCCTCAAGGAGTGTACAATCTAAGGTCCCCAACTCACATTCATACATACACATTCTAGGGCCAATTTAGACAGCAAATTCACCTACCAGCATGTCTTTGGAGTGTGGGAGGAAACCCACACAGGCACAGGGAGAACATGCAAACTCCAGGCAGGTGGTGCCATGGTTGGGATTCAAACCAATGACCCTAGTACTGCCAGGCAGAAAAACTAACCATTTAGCCACTGTGCTGCCCACTGTATGTGAATTGAACAGGAACATACACTGTTCCTGTGCGATTCATAACGTGAACTGGGGCTTAGCAGTAACGGAATACCTATTTGTTTTACATGGATTTCTAAGGCCATCAGACTATCACATTGTATTTGTGTTCCTTTTCATTGTCTTGTTCCTTTTTTCTTCAGGCTGTTTATTCTGCATTGTATTGATCTATTTTTTCATAAAATCTGTATATCGAGAAAGACATGCTGATAGGTAAATTGGCTCCTGTTTGAATATGTATGAATGTGAGTTAGGGACCTTAGATTGTACGCCACTTAAGGGTTAAGGACTGATGTGCATGTACACTATATATGTAAAGCGCTGCGTAAATTGATGGCGCTATATAAGTTAGGGACCTTAGACTGCACGCCCCTTGAGGGTTAGGGACTGATGTGAATGTACAATATATATATATATGTACAGCGCTGCGGAAATTAACAGTGCTATATTTAAATTCAGGTACTTATATAGCGCCGTCAATTTACGCAGCACATTTACACATATATATTGTACATTCACATCAGTCCCTAACCCTCAAGGGGCGTACAATCTAAAGTCCCTAACTCACATTCATACATACACATACTAGGGCAATTTAGACAAGATCCAATTAACCTACCAGCATGTCTTTGGAGTGTGGGAGGAAACCATAGTACCTGGAGGAATCCCACGCAGGCACAGAGAGAACATGCATGCTCCAGGCAGGAGGTGCCGTGGCTGGGATTTGAACCAACAACCCTAGTACTGCCAGACTGAAGTGCTAACCATTTAGCCACTGTGCCCTATATAAGTTAGGGACCTTAGATTGTACGCCCCTTGAGGGTTAGGGACTGATGTGAATGTACAATATATACATGTAAAGCGCTGCGTAAATTGACAGTGCTATACAGGCTATCCCCCCTTCAGTCTATTATGAATGCTGCTGCTAGACTCATACACCTTACCAACCGATCAGCGACTGCTGCCCTTCTCTGCCAATCCCTCCACTGGCTTCCACTAACCCAACGTATAAAATTCAAAACACTAACCACAGCTTACAAAGCCATCCACAACACTGCCCCTAGCTACATCACCAACCTCATCCACAGATACCACCCAAATCGCCAACTCCGCTCCTCCCATGATATCCTCCTCTCTAGCTCCCTCATCACCTCCTCCCACGCTCGCCTCCAGGACTTATCCAGAACCTCTCCCATCCTCTGGAACTCCCTACTACAGCATGTCCGGTCAGCCCCCACCCTGTCTGCCTTTAGGCGATCTTTGAAAACTCACTTCTTCAGGGAAGCCTACCCCACCTCCACCTAAGAACTGTACTTGAATCAGGTTGCGGACTGACAACTCATGGGGCCCCCCCCGGGCAACAGGGGATCATGGGGCCCCTGTGTCCTTGCCCAAACTCAAAAAAGCCTGTGAAAAAAAAAAAAAAAAAAAAAAAAAAAAAAAAAAAGGAAGTGTACCAGGGGCATCTCATGGTGTCCCCTACTGACCCTGTGCCCAAGTTCCCAAATGGTCAGACTACCCCTGCCAGATCATCCCCCGCAGCCATCACCTTTTGTATCACCTCCCCCTTCCTTTAGATTGTAAGCTCCACGAGGCAGGGGCCTCCTATTCCTTCTGTACTGAAAGTATTGTAATTATACTGTCTCCCTTATATTGTAAAGGGCTGTGCAAACTGTTGGCGCTATATAAATCCTGTATAATAATAAATAAGTACCTGTAATAATAATAATTATTATAGTGTTGACATGTTTGACGCTCTTTATCATTACAGTGCTTTCTTAAAACTCAATAAAAAGTCACTTACAAAACTGTAAGTGTTGTTAAAGGGATGAGTCAGCAAACCTGTTCCTCTGTAAATCTGAATTGTATGTGGATCACTTTTTATTATGTTACTTTGTAGGTGACCTTCTATAGGCCTTGCCAGGTGTGGAAACCCCCGAGGACGGCAGTCATTGTACAATCAGCCTAACCCAGGCCTGCTTTATGTACTTGATGAGTAAATGCACAGCCACTTCCTGAACTAAGGACTGGGCCTGAAAGGGTTTCCCGACATCACTCGGATAAGTGAAATAAAACCTTTCAGGGGCACCATTTCTAAATCTCTTGTGTTTAGAGAAGTTCTAAAAGCTCCTACTCTCACACATCTACTGCTAGGCTGAACTCTGCATTGACACACACTTACCTTTTCCTTGTTGGCAGGACTGATCTTCAGAGTGCACGCTTTAGACATGTCTGCAGGTTTTCAAACGTCTCTTGCTGTCCCTGGACTGTCCTATGGTCACTTCTACTAAGATCTCTTTTGTATTCTTTTTGTTCTGTCTTCCGCCCTTTCTTCCACTCCTCTGATCTGGCTGTTCTCGGTCTGTGTTACTTTCAGTTTCTCTTTAAATGATCTGTGCTGCTTAGAGGAAGGCGGTTATGGGAGTGCTTCACCGAAGGGACTTTCCAGCTCTGACTGTGCATGCATATCATTTCATGGTCTAGGAACAATCAATCAGTTCAAGAGGAAAGAAAGGATAAACCGACTTTGGGGGCTCAATTACACTTGCATATAAAATCTGGTGGTGGAGCCACTTTATGCCCCCCCCCCCCCAAAGCTGCATAGGCAGACGGACAGAAATGTACACGTCACAGCAAAAGTTATCCCCCTGTTACATTGGGTGGGCAGTTCAAGTGAATGGGCGCTAGGGTTGCCACCTCATCCCTTTAAAACCGAACACATATTAATTACACAGGTTCTGCAGCTAATTAAGGTGGTAATTAAACTTACTTTGAGCCTTATCTGCTTTAAATCAGCCCCAGAACCTGTGTAATTCATATGCGTTAGGTTTTAAAAGGATGAGGTGGCAACCCTAATGGGCACACACCTCAAAAGTGCACACTGTTGCAGTGTGGCAATGCAGAATTTACAGGGTTAAAACAGGCAGAGGAGGCAACATATCACCTCCTCAATTCCTGTCAAAGGCCTCTCAAAAGCAATCAACTGGAGATTGCTTTTCAGAGGGGCAGCAAGCACTGCCACATATGTAAACTATGCCTCCCCATTGCTTCTGCGTTTTATAAGAAATCTCAGTGTAAATACCTTTTTTTAATGAAAAGAAAAAATAGTGAAGCGCTTATATCACATAAATACAATAAAGTGCATTCAAACAAAATAAAATTTATTTAATTTATTTTATTTTATTTTGTTTGAATGCACTTTATTGTATTTATGTGATATAAGCGCTTCACTATTTTTTCTTTTTGTTTGCACTTATTGGTATTAGTCAAGTGATAGCAGCTGTAATTTAATAATCATTCCATTGAGCGCAGGAGGATTCCTTATATTTTAGTTCACCTTTTTTTAATGGACTTCAATGCAGGCACTTGACCACAAAGAGTCAACATGAAGGCTGAATTACATAGACCTGGGACATCATCCCCCAGATGAGAGTTCACAAGCACCTGCTGCACAGAAAGAGGAAGTAGGCTGCACAGAAAAAGTTTAAAAAAAAAAAAAAAAAAAAGGATTTACCTGGAGATATATTTTAAAACGTATGCAAGGCAATGGGGAGACAACATTGGTTAGTTTCTGGTTTAGCCCACACACACACACGCCACTTTATGAAGTACACATTGAGCGAGGGGGTGAATAACACACACATACTCACCAGCCACTTTACGAAGTACACCTTGCACATCATTACACCGCCACCAGCCTGAACCATTGATACAAGGCAGGATGGATCCATGCTTTCATGTTGTTTACTCCAAATTCTGACCCTACCATCTGATTGTCACAGCAACCAGTCTGCCCATTCTCTTCTGACCTCAACAAGGCATTTCTGTCTACACAACTTCCACTCACTAGATATTTTCTCTTTTTTGGACCATTCTCTGTAAACCCAAGAGATGGTTGTGCATGAAACTCAGTAGATCAGCAGTTTTTGAAATACTCAGACCAGCCCGTCTGGCACCAACAACCATGCCACGTTCAAAATCACTTACATCCCCTTTCTTCCCCATTCTGTTGCTCAGTTTGAACTTCAGCAAGTCATCTTCACATCTAGATGCCTAAATGCATTGAGTTTCTGCCATGTGATTGGCTGATTAGCAATTTGTGTTACCAAGCAATTGAACAGGTGTACCTAATAGAGTGGCCAGTGCGTGTGTGTATATATATTATTATACAGGATTATACAGGATATTATACAGGATTTATATAGCGCCAACAGTTTGCGCAGCGCTTTACAATATAAGGGAGACAATACAATTACAATACATTTCAGTACAGAAGGAATATGAGGGCCCTGCTCGTAGAGCTTACAATCTAAAGGATTATATACACACACACACACTGTATATCATTTGGTGATCCTCAATAAACATTATTGCAAGAAAATAAACTTATGATGACAGGAACAGAGTACTTGCTGTTGCTGACATCCTTTGGAAAATGCTAGTTGCCTGGCCTAGCAGCTTTGGTACTTTCTGAGTCCTTGATCTGGAACAGGTACACAGACCATGAAATTCAGATGTCCTTACCTGCACAATTCTTTGGTTTCAAATTTAACATTTCATGCCAGAACAAGTTTCCTGTAATATTGCATATTTTAGTTAAATAGAAAGTAGAGATATAACTAGCACATGGGCAGAGTGCTGCAGTGAAAAAAAAATACAAAAATTTCCAAGAACTATATCCAAAATCCCATTCACCATTTTTGTCACATTAATTTGCAAATACACATGAAAACATAAATAAAAAAGCTAGCATCACACAGTTTAAAGAAAAAATAAAAACAAAAAAAACGTGTACTATGAGTGATGCTAAACCTAAAAACGTTTTTTTTACCGTAATGCAATGCTTACATTACGGTAAAAGACATTTTCACATTCCCTGCTCTCCCCCTTAAGTGTGTGAAGGGGAAGAGAGGAGAGAAGAGATCAGCACTGTGCATTCTCCTCTCGCTTTCTCTTCACACAGGAACTTGAACAGCAGCAGGAGCCTTTGGCTCTTGCTGCTGTCAATCAGGTGCAGTGAAGTGTGGGGGCTAATTCCCACTGTGTGTCTATGGAGCGTGGCTCCATAGACGCACAGGTTGGGAGCGAGCATGCAGCGTTTGTCCCCATAGCAAATGGCTTGCTATGTGGACACGCAAAGAAGAGGCAGAGCCAGGATCGCTGGCAGGGGACCCGAGAAGAGGAGGATCAGGGCCACGCTGTGCAATACCACTGCACAGAGCAGGTGAGTATAACATGTTTTTTTATTTTAATTTAAAAAAAAAAATCCTTTAGTAACACTTTGACTCACTGGGGTTTATTTACTAAAGCTGGAGAGTGCAAAATCAGGCTCACTTCTGCATAGAAAACAATCCGCTATCAGATTTTATTGCAAAAGGCTAACTGAAGCTGATTGGTTTCTATGTAGAAGTGAGCCTGATTTGCATTCTCCAGCTTTAGTAAATAAACCCCCATGTGTTCATCAGCAGCGCTGTACTAAATAAATAAAGTGTTTAAAAAAGTGTCCACACCAAATAAGTTTCCAAAGCAATGCTTCCCAATCTTCCACTGATACACCCTTAAAAAAGTTGGATATGACGAAATGTACGTTGGGGCATGGCTTTGCGGCAAACTGGAAGTGACGTCCCGACAGTGTCCCCTCGATGGGAGCAGGTTTGTTACAAGCCTTCTATTGTTTGTCATTTTGTAAGTAGCATTCTCTGGTATGAATGTATTACAATATTGGAGCCTTTCTTGCACACTCCCTATGTGATAACCAGAGTTTGGAGCATGAGCAAGGAGGGGGTGATCACGTACGTTATGGTGGACGGCATTGTTTCAGTATCTCTAGCCTCAGCGACATGGGGCTGTCTGTTAATAACAGAGGCATATACATAAGGTGAGTTTTCCATCCACTGAGAGAGGTTTTTCACAGCACGGATGTATCAATGGAAGTCTGGGAAGCATTTCTTTGGAAACCTATTTGGTGTGAACACTTTTAAAGCGGTAGTAAACTGTGTTAAAAAAAAACCCAAAAAACAAAGTGGTCCCCCTGCAGGTTCATGTCATAATGTACTAGTATGCACTACATTCTAGAACATATAGACAGACTTGCCTTAAATCAAACCACCCTCAGCGGTGTACTGTGACCGCTGACACGGCTTTCATCTTCACCTGGTCTTTCTTCTGGTTTCGAGGGCTCCAGCCTTTTGAATGGCCAAGCCACAATGTCAATCCCTTGCATGTGCACAGAAGTCATGCCTGCGGCACAGCTCTCTCAATGGATGGCATGCCATCCATTGCGAGCGCAATTTGCATGCTCCAGTGATGTCACTGAGCTTCACATTGGAATATCTCCTAAACAGTGCACGTTTAGGAGATATTTATTGTACCCACAGGTAAACCTTATTCCAGGCTTACTTGTAGGTTCAATAGAAAATACAGACTTGCCACTTTAATATATTGTGGATTAACGTTTGGACACTTTTGTTTGGCGCAGAGGTGCTGATGAACACATTGGGGGGGGGAATTCAATAAAGCTGCTGCCCCACTTTTGTGGCGTTAATCGCTCTTAATTCATGAAGTATTTGTGACACTTTGGGTTCTGCCAGTGACTCGTGCACCAAATTCAGATAGTTCCAAAATGCGACACTTTTACAGTGTCTTGAATGCACTAAATGTGGAGCTAATTAAGACCAACTTTGCCATAAAGAGAGAAAGATTTTGCAAAAGTGTCTTGTGCACTCTAAAAGGGGTGCAGCATCAGCCAAATCCAAGTGCTAGTTCTAGACAGGTACATGAATTTGGCGCAGTCTTTACCGCTTTTAGAATGCATGAGAGAGACTTATGCAAAATCTCCCTTCACCAGTCTTTATGAATTCCAGGGATTGTGTTAATGCACTTACAGTACACATGTATCATTTTTTTACACTGGGCGATTTCATCTTTGTTTATAACACGTCAAGGCACCTCCGCAAAGTGTTGCCCCTAACTATCTGATTTCCTAACCAGTGAAATACATATAACGATGCATGCATTGGGAGCAGGTATGCCTTGGAGGTAGCCCCATTACTCTTAAAGAAACAGAAACTCAACAGAAGCTGCGACAGAAGCTCAAAGCCCCCCAGTGTCTCTATCAACTCCAACAATGCAGCCACCCAGATCAATTTATAACTTGCACAGAAAAAGTGGAGATTGATAGGAGTCAAAGTCACGTTTATAGCTCAAATTGCAATCAGAACATAAAATCTG